TTTTTCACAAAAACACGAATTTTCGATTTTAAAATGGTTGTACGGATGGTCTGGAACACCCGGTATATATATATATATATATATTTACAACCTATGTTACATTTGGTTTACAATTCTTCTTCACTATTTCTGTCTTGTGTTTTGTGTGTGTATGTGCGTGTGTGTGTGTGTTTTGTGTATATGTTGTGTACGTATGTAGGTGTGTTTGCAACTCTTGAGTCTCTGTCTTCTGCACCTGTCTGTTCAGCTTTTCTTCTCATTTTTCTGTTACTTAATCTTCTCTTCCCCTCTCTCTCCGAGATCTCCCTTTTCCGCTCTACTGTTTTTATCTTTCTTAGTTATTTTCTTTTTTCAACTTCTTCCTTTGCTACTTTCTTTTGCCTTTTTACTTTTGCATTTCTTTTGCTTTAGCTCTCCTTCTTGCTAATTTTCTCAACCTCACTTATTTTCCTTAGTGTCGTATAATTTTATCTTCTTGTTTTCCTTTTTCTTTCTCTTCTTCGTTACTTCTTCTTTTCCATTCTTGCTCCGTTGTCGAATACCTGCTTCCTCTCGCTTGTGTAGTTGCTATTACTTGTGTTTTGCGTGTGTATGTGTATGTGTATGTTTGCGTGTGTGTGCGTGTTTTGTGTGTATGTTTGTGTATGTAGATGTGTTCGCGAGTCTTGTGTCTCTACCTTCTCTTTCCGTCTGTCCTTATGGTCTTGTAATTTCGTCTTCTTGTTTTTCTTTTTCTTTCTCTTCTTCATTTCTTCTTCTTTTCTATTTTAGCTCCATCATCCACACTATCTTTTCTTTGCTTCCTATTAATATTTTTTCCCATTCTTCCCCTTCTTTTTTGCTTTTTTCACATCTTTCTACTATGTGTTTCCAATTTTCTTCCTCTTTCATACACATTCTGCATCTCTTATTTTCTTCTTTTTCCCAATACCTGCTTTTCCTCGTTTCATTATTTAACCTAACCCTTTCCCTTATTTGTAGGCCTTTTATTCTTCCCTCTCCTTGAATTTCCTTTAATCTATAGTTTTTCATTTCTTCTTTCAGTTCTTTCCACTCATTTATATCTTGACTTTTCTAGCTTTTCTTCTAGTTCTTTTTCTTCTTTTTTCTTTAGCTCTTCTCTTATTTCTTCCCAAAACTATTCTCTCATTTCGTCTCCCTCTTCCCTCTGTCTGTATATTTTACTTTTTTCTAGCCTTTCCTCTCTCTCCTCCTTCTAACCCTTTTTATCTTTTTCATTTCTGTCCCTTTTCTTTAATTCTCTCCATGCTTCTTTTTATATTAAGCCATTTCTTTCTTCTCTTATTTTGTTTTCATACCTCATTGCTCTTTCTAATGCTGTTTCTTTCATTTCTTGTCTTCCTGTTTCCCATCGTATTAAGTAACTTGGCATGTTTCTATCTAATCCTAATACCCACTTTATGTATTTTAATTGTAAGTCTCAAACTCCCCAATTATTTCTCCTCCAACTTTTACCTTACTCCCTGTTTTCTTATATATTTCTTCTATTCTTTTCCTGATTTTACCATTTATCCCTTTCTCTTTCAAGATTTCCCTTATTTTCTTCCTCATTATCTTGTCAAAAGCGGCCTTCATTTCGGCAAAGAATACATACAGTTTTCCTCCTTTTTCCCTTATTTCCTTCCCTATTATTGTTTTTAATATATAAATTGCGTCCATTGTTACTCCTTTCTTCCTGAATCCCATCTGCGAATGGCTTAGCGCTTCTTTTACCTCGAGTTCTCTTTCCAACTTTTTCCTCAGTATTTCTGCATATATTTTATATCCCGTGTCCATAAGCGTTATTTCTCTATAAATTTTTACTTGTTCTTTCTTCCCTTTTTTATATATTTGTACTATTATTCCCTTCCTCCATTCTACCGGATATTCTTCTCTGTTCCATATTCCGTTTAAGCATTTTGTCATATCTTTTAACAAGCCTTCCGTGCCTTCCATCCACGCTTCGTTTGCTATACCACCTTCTTCTGTCGCCTTTTTCTTGAGCGACCTCTACTGGACAGAAACGTCAACAGTAAAGCCTCACGAATCTATTGGTTACTCACTGATACTTGCCGGACCTCGTATAGTTCATGCGCAGCGTGTCTTTGTTTACAGTGCCTTTTTCGCGTTCGTCAGATTTTGATATTGTCAAAAATGACTGAAATACAAAATCAACGAATTTGCATCAAATTTTGCTTTCAACTCGGAAAAACGAGTTCGGAAACTATTGAAATAGTGCAAAAGGCCTTCGGAAGCGAGTGTATGAGTAAAACACGAATAAAAGAGTGTAAACGGTTCAAGGATGGTCGCATTTCTGTCGATAGTGATTCTCGTTCCGGCCGACCTTTGACGATAAAAACCGCAGATAATATTGAGCGGGTGCGACTTGCAATCGAACAAGATCGTCGTATGACTGTGCAAGAACTAGAAGAAGACCTTGGGATACCAATAACTATATTTTCAGAAATTTTAACCGAAAATTTAGGAATGAAACGCGTGTGCGAAATTCATCCCAAAATTGCTCACAACAGAGCAGAAGAACATTCGCTTAGAAATCGCTCTGGGAATGGTCAATAATGATGATAATGTGCTTAGAAAAGTTATTACAGGTGATGAATCATGGGCTTATGGTTATGATCCTGAAACAAAACAACAATCTTCACAGTGAAAGCATTCTGAATCGCCAAGACCAAAAAAAGCACGTCAAAGTCGGAGCAATGTTAAGTCAATGTTGATTGTTTTTTTCGATTGTGAAGGTGTTGTACATCACGAATATGCACCAACAGGTCAGACAATCAATAAATAATACTACGTTCAAATTTTGAAACGTTTGCGTGATGTAGTAAGAAGAAAACGGCCGCACTTTTGGGAAAGTGGTGACTGGCTTCAGCATCACGATAATGCGCCAGCGCATTCATCCAATCTTGTGCAGCAGTTTTTGAGAAAACACAATATCGCTTTGTGACTTTTGGCTGTTTCCAAAACTAAAAAACCACTCAAAGGACACCGATTCGATGACAAAACAACGATTGAAAACAATGCGACGAGTGTACTTAAGGCTATCCCTAAAAGTGAATTCCAGGACTGTTTTGAAAAGTGGAAACATCGATGGAACCGTGTTATGCAATCAAGTGGGGATTACTTTGATGGATGCCACCCACTAGATGATAAAGAATAACGCTAGCACGAAAATGTAAAGGTAGACCCGATACTTTCAGGACGGACCTCGTATCTTCTGCATCACTACTTTTTCCCACTTCTCTTATCATGTTGTCCAATCCTTCTCCCTCCTCCCCTTCCATCTTGCTCCCCTCTCTTTCACTCTTGCATCTTTTTGCCTCTCTCATTTCTCCTCTAATATTCTCCCTCAGCTCCTCTCCGCTCTCTCTCCCCCTCACAACCTTTACTCTTTTCTTCTTTTCCTCCTTTTGGTCTTTCTTATTTATCCTTCCCCCTTTATCTCTTAATTTTTCTGTTGTCACAAATCTTTCCATTACTATCCCGTACGTCTTAATTCGTCTCTCTAATTCTACTCGAGATCGCACCTTTATTCCCTGTCTTACTTTTTCTGTCTCCGCCTTTACTTCTTACTGCCCCTCCTCTCTACTTGCCTTTCCCGCTTCTTAATTTTCTCTCTTAACCTCAACTTTTCTTTTTTCTTTATTCTTCTCCCTCTGCTTTTCCCTTCTCTTCTACAAGCCCCCCTCTCTCTCTACTCCACTTCTATTCCGCCTCCACGCTCTTTTCACCTCTATCTCTCTCCTCAAACACTTTTCCTCTCAAACTTTCTCACCAAAACTCGCACTTACAGTCAAGACACGTCAACTCCCTTCCACGAGTCTCATTAAATAAAAATATATTAATGACTGTTTAGTTCCTAGTGTAAAACATGGTGGTGGTTCATTCATGGTATGGGGTTGTTTTGCTGGGTTAATAGTAGGCGATATAATTAAAATTGATAGAATTCTGAAAAAAGGAAGTTACAAATAATTTTACGTACAAAAGTATGCAGTCACGTCAGAGTTACGATTAGATGGATGACAGTTTGAATTTCAACAGGATAATGATTCCAAGCATACTTTAAAATTATGTAAAATAAAAATAAAAAAATTAAAAAAAATAAAAAAAATTCGACTTCGGAACTATAAATTATGATAAGCTAAATATTTATGCTACCAGTTATTGAGGTTCAAATGGGATTCAAAACCGAAAATCATTCGGAAAACTCGATTTTACAAAAAGCATTTTGAAAAAATAGCGTTTTTGTTATTATATTTATTTATCAAATTTTTAACAACATAAGTAAAAGTAGATAAATAACATCAGTTAAATAAAAAATAAATAAATACTGTAAAAATTATTTGAAAATTTGACAATAAATAAATTTTTTTCTACAACGTGGAATGAATTTTATTTTATTTGAATTTTATTCAAAAGTTGCTCTACTTAAGTAGATTAGATAGTACTAAGAAAGATAATTGGATAAATTTAGCTAGCCAACTTAAATTTTTAAAGTCTGCAGTGAAGTAGTTTTATTCATCAGATTTTCTAAGACTGGTCCAGCTATCGGAGAAAGAACATGGCATACTTGTGTCTTTTAAAAACTTATATTTATAACATACTATCAAGGTAAAAGATTTCAATAACATGATTTTTTATTTTTCATAATTAATTTATGACTATTAAACTTCCAGGTTCAAAATTTGCCCAAAAGGGTTCAAAAAGGAGGGAAATACTGCATCTGAGCTAAATTTTGTTTATGTGTTACAAGCATATTTTTGGAGGGGCTCAATTAATTGCAATACTGGTGGACTCAATTGAAAAGATATCCCTCCTAGATGGTCCCAATTCATGATTATGAATTGGTTGAATTATTTTTGTAACTTAAATGAATAAAGTAGTGAGTAAAATAAAAAGTAAATTTGTCTTATCCATTAAAAATAATGATTAAAAAATATGTATGTATATGTATATATATATATATATATATATATACGTACGGGTTTGTCTATTAGCTGAAGAAGTATCTGCACCTCTTTCGTTGCCAGCTAAATCTATCAGTGAAAATTTTCCATGAATTTTATGAGTTCCTGGTGCACGTACAATTATTTGGAAAACTGCGTGTGACCTTGATGAATTTGTATTGGCACTAGTTTGTCCACTTGTTCGTACATTGTTTCCATGTTGGATGAGTTTTAATACTTCATCGCAATTTTCGACAACTTTCTCAGTTAATCCAACTATTTGCACCTATTATTTTTAATACATTATTAATGTTGATGAATACAGATATTTATAAAGTAAAAAAATTGACAAATACATTGAATTCACACATTATAGTTACAATAGTTACGATTTGATAGTTATTTTCTTTCCTTTTCTATTTTAAATTTGACTGATTTTTATACCTACTCAATCTCCACATCCTAACCTGAACATATCGTGCGTTAAAGCTGATAATGTAATTATTAAACCTGTTTGACTGAAAAGTAACTCTACCCAAGTGTCACTCACCGATTTCAACTAAACTTAGTATATCGGTAGAACCCGTGTTTTTTTTATTATGGCGGATCCCACTTTTTAGGAGTAGAAACCACCCCTATCAATCTATATAACTCTTAGTAGAGAATGTTTAATCAACTGCTTTCCATACGAAAATTAAGATCTCTCTCAATCACAGATAACCTAACCGACCTTAACCCTGATATATCTCATCCCCACAATCCTTTATAAGCCATTCCTACCAACTCCCAAGCAGGCTAACCCATCTAATTTTTCTTTTTACCTATGTTTAGCATTATCTGGGATCAACGACGAGGACGTAAAAAGTTTTTGTTCCCTTTGGGGTGCTTGATTAGCGTGAGTACCCTTGCGTCTCACAATCAAGGTGCTGGATTTATGTGAGTCCCTTTGCCTTTCACAATCGGAGTGGTAAATTTACGCAAATCCCCTCGCCTTTCACCTCTTCTTATATGTAATTGCTTGAACGTAATCATTTAACATGTAACAATTAAGTAGTTGAGTTGATTAAACTCGCTCTACTCCAAGTTAGGTGTGGGTTAACCTGCTTGGGAGTTGATAGAGGTGGTTTCTACCCTTCAAAAATAGATTCCACCTGCAACGAACCCACCCAGTACCGGAACTCCGTGCACTGCGAGGTTTTACGCAATGTTCTCTTCGCCCACTAGACGGAGCACCGTTGTCGCTGTTTTAAACGCATTGTTTTTCAATAAAAAAATTCGATAGATGCATTTTCATGATACTACTTTAAAACTTGATAATTTTGTTGCTGTAAACAATAAAATTGAGAAGAAAATGGACAAGTATAAAGTATTTTTAGAATTAGCCAAAGAATACATGACAATTTTTTGGATGTATTTTGAATAATTTTTTTATTTTGTAAAAAGTTGCCATTTAAAAAAACAAACAATATTCTCAAAAGTAGTCGAAAAAGTTCATATGAGTATTTTTCTTTTCTTGGCACTTTTTCCATAAATTCATAGTTTTTGAAAACAAAAATCATGAATTATTTGAAAAAATTTTACGGTTCGGGCGCCATTTTGAAAATTCTAAAGTAAAAAATCAAATTTTGAATTATAGATTCTTAAAGTTCAAGCATTTATTCCATCAGTTAAAAAGATTTCCGGTCAATTCCCAACATGAAAAACTTTGAAAACTAGATTTAAAAAAAAAAGTAGAAAATTCATGCTTTTTTTTTTGTTCAAACGCCATTTTTTCATAAATATTAATAATTTTGATCAATTTTGAATTAACCATCAGAAAGGGCATATCTCAAGTTTTATAAATATGACCTTCTCAATTTTTTTGACATCTATATAATGAGTTACGAGATGCCAAAGGTTGATATATTGCGAGTGGCGTTTTCGGCCAAAACGGGATAGGTTACAAAATTGTGAATCTCGAGCAAACGAAAGATATTCAAGTAAAATATGTGTGAGTCCAGAAAGTTACTACGAATATCTTGGTGGTATGATTTTTGATGCTCCTTGGTAGCTAAGACTAACAACCGAAACCTCGAACGGGGCAGATACGTCAACGTGAATTTCTAATGTTGGCACTTTCTATGACTTAATTTTATTCACGTTTTCCACTGAGCTTGAATATATGAGTTTATTTGAAAATTGAATTATAATAGTGATTAATATTATAATAAGACCAATAATAGTGATCCACCCACAGAACAGGCTTGCCGGGTCCATGAGCACAACCAGTCCTTTTTACAAACTATCTATCGGAGGAGATCCGAGATTGCGGGCCGACGTGACTTAAACCATCTTTGACTTCCGCTGATGGCAATACAGATGGCTGCTTTTCTAGTCAGAAGCAGCCAGTCGGCTTGGCTTCGGCCTTGACAAGTGTAGTTTGTTGTGTAACGTCTGCCGGAAACCTTCCAAAGAGCCTAGTACCGTTGTGGATGTGCAAAGCACAAGGGGTGAAGGTGAACTAGTACGACAGGCTGTACTACGAGTATATCTCTGCGTGATGTGCCGTCCCTGGTGCCGCCCGTTTAGACATGTGTTGGAGGGTCACACCTAGTTGCTTCCGAGGGTAGTTCCTGTCGGTGAGAGTTCAGTGGGCTGCACGCACGTGGAGATGAATATTTATTTTCAGATATGGAGCAACGTAAATTACATACGGAAGTAGTAAGTATTAAGGTAAGTAAAAGAAAGAATGTGTTAGCAGCTGAGACTAACGACCTGAGGGAGCAGCTAACACCCACTTTAACAGGAGGATCGAAAACGGTCATGAATGCCCCTACTAAAGAAGAAATTACGAACCTCCAACGAGTCAACGATGATATGAGGGCACTCATAAAAACCATGACAGCCGTATTCGGGCACCAAAAAAACATAGCGCGGAGTTCGAGAATAGCCTGCCTAAGCTAGAGGATTATCTGGACAAGCTAGAGGCAATCAGAGCTTATTGTGGTTCTTCACGAAAAAGGATAGAGCTCGTTGCAAACGCAATGAAAGCATCTCTCACTAACACTAGCTCCACAGGATGAAAAGAAGAAGGCTTCGAGAATGCCAATATAAACTCCTTCTCTAAAGAACAGGAAACAAGAGAAGAAACAGGAGGATGGAGCATGGTTCAAGGTGTCCTCCGAAAAAAAGGAAAACAAGGACAAAAAAGGAACAGGAGTCCTTGAAGAGCCTTTACTAAAAACAACGAAGAACACTACGGGCATCCTGCGCAAGAAGAAGGCTTGGCCAGAAGCGATTGCCCTCAAACATTAAGGAGACAAGACCTACGCCTATATTAGAAGAACCATACATAAGAGTGTCAAGCCCGAGGACTATGGCGTTGAAGTCTGCGGCATGCGCTGCATGAGGACCGGAGAGGTCCTCGTAGAGCTTCGCAATGCAACGGCCGAAAGCCGGCAGGGCATCACAGAAGACTTTAAAAGGCTGTCGGCAAAGGCACTGGCATTAGGAAACAGATTCTAAGGGCGATCTTGAAAATTAAAGTCCTCTACTACTGCACCACTAACGCCAAGATAGGAGACGCCCTGCAGCATGTCCTGCAAGATTACAAAGAACCATTGAGGATATCGGTAACCAAGGCAACAATGTCCAGCAACTTCTGACCATTGTCGAGCTGAGAGCGGTTGCTGCCACGAAGCTGTTGGAAACAACAAAAATAAAGGTGGGTAATCTGTAGGATCATTCCCCGCAAAGTGCCTTGGTTTCGGTCATTTGGGCCGGGACTGAAAGGGATCTGTCTAAAGCTCCTGTTATAAATACGGTCCACAGAGACACAGGGTTGCATTTTGTACTACAAGTCTAATATGCATAAAACCAGGACTGTTTATGACCAGTACTTATCAACGAGGCTGTGACTGATGTTACCATGTGCGTCATATGTCGAGCCAGCGAGGTATTGGGGAGGAAACAGCCGAGAGTAAATAAACGTCCTGTATTGGTGGACGAACCAGATTGCGGAGCTTCCGACGTAATTGTCTGGAGCTCCGAAGACGCGCTCAAAGGAGCTAAGTTGGTGCAGAAGCAGCCCTAAGAATGGCCGATTACAAATAGGTCAAGAGGGAACTTCGTCAGGCCTTCAAGTCTAGTCAGCGCCGATGCTGGAGCGAATCGGAGAAGTATTTTAATTGGGATTCATGGGGATTGAGGTATAAAATCGTCTTCCGATAATTGGATGCCTTATCACGAAGCGGGCCTACTAATGCGAGGACGATGGATGTTATCATCGATGCCCTTTTTCCTGCGCATCCTAGGAGATCCGAACCCACTCCGAGTCCGGTATACCTGGATGCTCCGGCCTTCATGAAGGAAGAATTTCGGAAGGCCGCGAGCTCGATGAAGAACAAAAAGGCACCAAAGACAGATGGACTCTAAAAGCCGTAATTGAGAGCAGATCCGAGCTCTTGTTAGGTATGTACAATGCGTGCCTAAAAGCGGAAACATTTTCTTCCCACTAAAAAGCCGCGCGACTTGTGCTTGTCGGTAAGGGCAAGACCTGCACCCCAGAGAGTATGGCTTCCGAAGTGGGAGATTGACGTTCAACGCCATCCAGGTGGTCATGGGAGCTGCCAGAGCAACGAAGCAGGGAAACCACTATTCTCGCCCCGTCTGCCTATTGCCATTACTCGACGTGAAAAATGTTTTACACTCGATAAGATGGACCGACGCTTTTGACGCACTGGAGTGGGATTTTGGTGTCCATGATTACATACGGTGTATAGCCGGGGATTGCCTATGAAACCGTTTCCTGGTATACCAGACGCGGGATCGTCGAAGGTGAAAAGAAGAGAGCGGTGGTGCAACTAAGGGCTCCGTCCTCTGTTCCGACATATGGAATATCTACTATGATAGGATCCTGCGGTTGCATTCCGAGGGAGTTTAAATACGAGGATAATGTCGCATTTATTATCACAGCAAGAGATGAGAAAGCGGCTCAGATGCGACTCAACCAGGTCATACGATGCATTATGTTCTGGATGGAGGATCATGGACTTCAACTGGCAACGCCGAAAACAGAGATCGTGTTTCTCACCAAGAGACATATCCCTCTTGTGCGACCGATGTCTATGAGAGATGCGACAGTCTAGACGAGCACTGCAATTAGTTACCAGGAAGTAATACTTAACAACAGGCTCACCTTCGAGTGCCAGATAAGAAAGGCTTTGAACAAGGCGGCGTGCGTGACGGTGAACTTGAGCAGGATAAAGGCCAACATCGGGAGCCCATGACCCTGCAAAAGACGTCTGC